GAAATCCTCTGTCTCAGCTTCCCAGGGTGATGGGATTATAGGCATGCGCTTTTATTCTTATGGAAGCTCAAAGGGTCCTCTTCTTGGGATTTCCTTGCTATCTAGTGTCAAAAAGTGCCAAGTTCCCCCCAGACCTGAATCAGCCATTTCTCCAAGAAGCCCTAATTTAAGTGGGAAATGGAATTTCCAGGCTGCAGCTGGCTTGCTGGGGGCGCTCTTTGCTACTGGGTTCTCATCATCTCTTTGCCTTTTCAGTGGCCCAAGAACCCCCCAAAGACACCTCATCCCTTCAGTTCCATCCCATTCTACACTTGCCTCAGCCCCAGGTGAGCGTGAGTCTTTCTCTCTCAGAGGGAGAGAATCATACAGTAGCTGGTCTCCTACTTGGCTTCTTTTACTCAGCACATTTCCAAAGCTCATCCATGTGGTAGCATATCTTGGTTACTCATTCATGCTATGGAGAAATAATATCCTGTCATATGAAAATAACACATTTTATGCATCTGTTCTTCAGCTGATGGGACATGTGTTATTTTCATCATGGGTTAGTGTGAATAACAGTAAGCTTCATATCCTTGCACAGGTGTTAATTCAGCCACATCTCTTGGCTGCTGTCTTAGTTACTTTTCTCTTGTTGCTGAGACAAAATACCCAATGCCCAAAATGAAGGAAGGAAAGGTTTATTTAGCTGACAGTTTGTGGAGGTTTCAGTCCACACTCAGCTGGCTCCAAGGCACGGTGGCACATGGCAGAGGGCAACAGTTCACAGCAGTAGAAGACAGCAAAAGCAGCAAGATCAAAAATGGGGAGAACAAGCCTCTTTCCTTCCCTTGTACTGTAAGCAGGCTACCTCCCTAGGGTGGGTGTAGCACTCACACCATCTCCTTGCCCTCCTCTTGCACAGAATGAGGATGTTTACAAAGTGAGGACCCTGGCTTCCTGCTGAGTCACTTGGTTAAACTTCTAAACTTCTCAAGTTGACACAGTATATCAACCATTACAGCTGCATAGGGATAATATTTCCGTGTCATGTGGTGCCTGTGTGTGACACTTTGAGGACCTGCTGAACCTCCCCACACCGGCACCCTCGTCCGCTCCCTCTGGCGGCTTCTGAGCTCCCCGTCTCTGCACATGGCCACTGCTCCCTTGTTCCTGCGTCAGCCCCTCAGCAGGTATGGTTTGACTTGCATTTCCCAATGGCAGATGGTGCCGGACTGTTCTCCTGTGCTTCTTGGCCATTTGCATCTCTTCTTTGGAGAAATGTCTATTGAGTATTTTGCCCAGTTTCCCATTGGGCTTGTTGTGTTTTTATTGTTTAGTATTAAGTGTTCTGTGTATATGCTAGACATGCAATCTGGTATGTCTCTTTTCATATTGTAGCAATTACCTTTTTTCCTCTTTTCAGTGTCCTTCAAAGCTCAAAATTTTTAAACTGTTGTTTTGGTTTTTTTGTTTTTCTTCTGGTACCAGGAATCGAACTCACGACCTTGCACTTGCCAGGCAGGTGCTGGGCCACTGAACTAAATCCCCAGCCTAAAACTTTTAAATTGTTATGAAGTTAAACTTATGTTTTCTTTTGTTGCTTGTGCTTTTGGTGTCCTATCTAAGAATCCATCGCCTAAACCAGGCGTGGTGGTGCACACCTGTAATCCCAGCACTCAGGAGGCTGAGGCAGGAAGGTAGGTGCAAGTCTGAGACCAGCCTGGGCTACAGCGTGAGCTCAAGGCCTGCACAGTGAGACCCTGTCTCAAAAACACCAAAACAAAACAAAACAAAAAGAATCCATTGCCTAATCCAAGGCCATGAAGATTTATACCTATATTTTCTTCTAAGCATTCTATAGCATTAGTTCTTACATTGAGGCTCTTGACCCAATTGAGTTAAACTTTGGAATAACTTGTGAGGTATAACTTCATTCTTTGTCATGTGAATAGCCAGTTGTTTCAACACCTTTTAGCAAAAAGATTTTCTATCGATCTTTGGTACCCTTTTCAAAAATCAGTTGACCATAAATATGTTTATTTTTAACATTCAATTTCATTTATCTCTAGGATTACCTTTGTCCCAGTACAACAGTTTTAAATGATGTACCTTTGTGGAAAGGGTTGAAAATCAGGAAGCCTGAGTCCTCTAGCTTTATTTATTTTCAAGAGTGTTGAGATTCTCTAAGTTGCCCAGGTGGGCTCTGCATTTGGTATCCTCCTGCCTCAGGCTATTACAGGCATGCACCACCACAGATTTATTGAGACTTGTTTTAGGGTTATGTTGGTCAGCTTTCTGTTACCATAACAAAATAACTGAGATAACCAACATAAAAAAGAGGAAAGGTTTAACTGGGCACAGTGGTGCATAACTGTAATCCCAGCACTCTGGGAGGCTTAGACAAGAAGATCACAAATTCGAGACCAGCATGGGCAATTTAGTGCCTTAGGGGAGATCTGCCTTAAAATTTAAAAGGGTTAGGGATGTGGCTCAGTGCTAAGGATGTGGGTTCAATCCCCAGTATCCTGGGGGCGGATGTAATTATGGCTCCTGGTTTCAGTGGTTCCAGTCCTGGTTGGGTAACCTGGTTACTTCTGGGCCCAGTGAGGCAGCAATCACAGCACAGAAAGCTCTCACCTCCTAGTGGCTGGAAGAAAGGTGAGGAAGGGAAGGGCCGCCTTCCAGGCCCACTTCTTCCTCGGAGGCCTGTGTCTTCCTGGACCACAGCCAGGAACACACCTTTAGCCCAGGGGCCTGGGGACAGCCACAGAAATGCCACAGTGACCTGGCCTAGCCTGTCCTGGACAGCGTGCTGCCTGCCCTCAAGGAGGCACATGTTCTGTTGTGACTTCGTGTTGCCCAATGTCCCTGAGTCCTGGCAGGTGAGACTCTGCTGTGGGCTGTTCTGTCCACCATCCAGAGCAGGTACTGAGTCTCCACCTCCCACTCACCTGCCTCCTCCTCCCACCCTGCAAGGTTTGGCTGCACGTATTTTGAGGATCTGTTTTGAGTGCATATATGTTTGTTTAGTTGGTTGGTTTTTCAGACAGGTCTCACTATGTAGTTCAGGCTGGCCTTGAATTTGCTTTGATCCTCCTGTTTCAGCCTCTCAAATGCTGGGATTACACATGTGCCATGCCTGGTATCACTTTAATTCCTGCCTGTAATCCCAGCACTCAGGAGGCTGAGGCAGGAGGATCAGTGTGAGTTCAGAGTCAGCCCAGGCCACAGAGTGAGGCCTTGTCTCAAAAGCTCCCTCCAAAAGTTTTTTTCCTTCTTCCTTTTACTGTATATTTAGAAGTTTATTATCTTAGTGGCTACCCTGGGGATTCCAGTGAATATATTAATTTATAACAATCAAGGTCAGATTATTATCAATTTAATTTCAATAACATAAAAACTTTGGTCCCTTTTCCCCTCATCCTTTTTTGTCATACAAATAACATCTTTGTACATTTGGTGTCCACCATCAACACAGACTTCCAATTCCTCCAAGAAGCTGTTTTTCAAACCAGATAAGATTATTTTTTAAAAACAATGTTTCAGCCCCCTCCCCACCAAAAGTGCATCGTGCTCTTTTAATTTTCTTTACCTAGTCAGCTTTCTGGCTCTCTGTACTTCTTCATATGGATTTTGGTCACGGTCTTCCACTCTGCAGTCCAGCCTGAAGGATTCCTTTTAGCATTCCTTACAGGGAAAGTTTTCTAGTGATGAATTACTGCCCACTAGAATGCTTTAAAAAAAAACCTGACATCACCAAATGCTGGGGAGAATATAGAACAAGAACTCTCATTTATTGCTGATGGGAAAGCAAAACCATATAACAACATTGTCTTTTCTTTTTTGCAGTGCTTGAGATTAAACGTGGGCCATGCACATGCTACACAGCTGCACTCCCAGCCCCAGGGTGGCCACTTTGGAGAACAGGCAGTTTCTTATAAAACTTTCCATGTGACCCAGGATTGTGCTTCTGGTGTTTACCCCAACGAATGAAAATAGATATTCACACAAAAACCTGCACAAAGCCAGGCGTGGTGGTGCAACCCTGTAATCCCAGCATTCTATTCAGTTCAGGCTGGCCTTGAACTCACTTTATAGCCCAAGGTGGTTTCAAACTCTCGGTGATTCTCTTGCTTCAGCCTCCTGAGTGCTGGGATTACAGGCATGCGGCACTACGCCCGGCTACACTTTTAATTATACATTTAAAAATTAATCTGTGATTACTCTGGAGATTACAATAAACATCCATAATTTATTAGCATCTACATTAAATTAGCACCATTACTTCCTGAACAATGCAAATAGCCTAGAAAGATGAATTGAGTCTCCACTCACCTTTTGTACTATCGTTCCATTTATTATTTTTCTGCCTTTTTTTTTTTTTTTTTTGTCCTTTTGAGGCAGGGTTTCGCTATGCAGTTCAGGCTGACCTTGAGCTCACTTTGTAGCCCAGGCTGGTCTCGAACTCGCGACGATCCTCCTGCCTCAGCCTCCCCAGTGCTGGGATTACAGGCGTATGCGTATGTTTTATTGTAGTACCGCCAGGAGTGCTGCTCTACTACTGAGCTACACCCAAGTCCTTTTAAGTTTTTTTGAGACAGCAGGATTTAAAAAAAAAAAAAGAATTAAGAAACGTTATGTACAAGTACCAACTCCGTTCAGTGAATGTCAGTATGTCATAACGATTACATGCACAGCCACAGGTAGCCAGATATTCCTCAGAAAAGGGGATCCAGAGATAGAGGAATGGAAGGGAGAGAAGAAAAAAGAATTGAAATCTGTTATGTGTAATACCAACTCCCCACAACGAATGTAATCATTATGTGCTGCAAACATGAACTAATAAAAAGTAAAAACTTGGGGGAGGGGAAGTATTCCTGTGTAACAACAGGAACCCGCCATTGACGCCCGGCAGCCCAGGCAGGAACCTTGGCAACGCCTGCTGCTGGTACCGCCCTATGCGGAACCGATTGTGACCGCGCCCAGTTTCCGACCGGGGCTACTTAAGTGCTGCGCGCGAACGGACTGACGCACTTGCGTGCGGGAGGGCGCGGCGGTAGGCAGAGGCGCTAGGCAGCGGCGGCGAGCTGCGAACGGCGAGTGGCGTTCACACCCCGGCCACCATGAGCACCAAGCAGGTCACTTGCAGGTCAGCACGCGGCGCTCCGCGTTTCGCCACTGGGGACACTGAGGTGGGGGCGGGACTCGCGCTGAGTTGCCTAGGGCTCCGCCGCGGGGGCCAGGGGGCGTGGGCGCGAGGGGCAGCCCAGTCCCGAGCCCGGCAGCCGCGCTGACGCCAGGTCTGTGGGCGGCGTCGCCGTCCTCATGGTGACCGGCGCGCCGCGCTCCCCGTTCTCCGGCGGGCAAGCGAGCCCAGCGGGGCTCCCGTGACGCCCTGAATCTTGCTGCGTCTCCTTGGGAACCCTGAGGGTGGCTTTGTTACGGGAGGCCCTGGTCACTCGCCCGGGATCCGCGCGCGGGGGGAACGGGGTGGGCGTCCCCGATCTGCAAATCCAGACCTCGACGTGCTGCGGAACCCTTCCACGGCGCCCGGGGCGCCGGCAGGACGCCACAAGTGGAAAATTCCACTTCACGAAAGTTTGTTTCATGGTGAAGGCTACTAAAAATATGGTGTAGGATTACCTTCAGGCAACGCGTGTAAGGTGTGCATGAGATACAGTGAATTGTGTTGTAGACTTGAGTCCCATTCTGCAGATTAAGCGTGTGCTTAATCTGAGAAATCCAAAGGTCAAAACACTTAATGTCTCAAACCTCTTGGACAAGGAATACTAAACTTCCAAATTTTATTTAATTGGTTTCAGTAAAACGTGCTCGCGAAATACTTTTAAATATCTTTGTTACCCCTCTTCCTTGGTGTAAATGACTGAGACGTGATGAAGTTTTGTTAGCATTAGATATTAACTGTTAAGCCAGTTTTAACCAAAGGCCCAGACTCATGTTAAGCAGCTGTCAAAAACTTGCCTTTAGAGCTGCATGTGGTGGTGTATGCCACTAATACCAGCAATCTTTGAGGCTGAGGCAGGAGGATCACAAGTTCAAGCCCAGCCTGGGCAATTCAGTGATATAGGGAGGCTCTATCTCAAAATTAAGCCAGGCATGGTGGGGCACGCCTGTAATCCCAGCACTTGGGAGACTGAGGCTGGAGGATCGGTCGGAGTTTGAGGCCATCATGGGCTACATAATGTGTTCAAGGCCAGCCAAAAGTAAAAGAAAAACTACAGTTAGTATCTGTAAAAATATCTTTATTAGGTTATTTGTGTTACAAGGGCTTTTGTGAAGACCCGCATGTATGTGAATTTTTTAAAACTTTTATTTATATAGTTTTGTCTTGGGGCAACTGTTCTAGGCTATTGTACATTGTAAAGCAGTTTCTAGCTAATTTGTGTCCTACTTGCTTTGTGGTTTAATTCTGCCATTCCCATACCTGCTTCTAAGATGTGTCCACAAAATGGTGCACATTTATGTACTGCTTTGTACCTGAATCTCAGTACAGTATCCTACCTCATTTTACAGGTAAGGAAACTGCTGCAGAAGATTTGAGCCGTGCTCAAAATTTTACATTTTAGTGCAGTAACAAGGACTTAAATCAGGATCATCTTGATTTTTTTCCTTTCACATCTGGAGATAGCTTGACCTGAGAGCTTTAATTCTGTTTCCCAAATAAGAGGACAGTGATGGCAAATCTTTTAGAGACTGAGTGCCAGACTGCAACCCAAAACCCACTTATTTATCGAAAAGTGCCAACACTGAATTAAATCTGAATACTGAAGTCTGGCATGGTGGCGCATGCCTGTAATCCCAGCACTTGGGAGGCTGAGGCAGTAGGATCGTTGCAAGTTCGAGACCAGCCTGGGCTACAAAGTGAGCTCAAAGCCAGCCTGAACTGCATAGGGAGACCCTGTCTCAAAAAAAAAAAAAAAATCTGAATGCTGAGGTTATAATTTAGAAAATATAACTCTACATTAGTATCTTTTGTCTTCAAAGAAAAACACAGTAACACATGTGTCAAAGATTGGCCACCACTGCTGTAGGGTATTACTACATATACACTAAGAGTGAGTTGGAATGTTGGAAAGGTATGGCTTCTGTTCAAGCATTCATGTTTGTTGAAGAGCTTATAGTTCCCTGGGGCTTCTTTGAAGTGCCTTGTCAGGCATATTATGTATAACCTTTCAGTCAGTTAGGTGCGTCCCACAGATCATGTCACTGAGCCTCAGCACTGAAGGTCTTACCCAGGGTTTTACAGCTTCCAAGTGGCAGATGTGTGCCATCAGGGTTCACGCTTGCGTAGACTTTCAGCCTCCATATAGGTTTGGGAATATTAGTAAGTTGTTTACTGCAGGATTGCAAGGGCTACACAAAAACATACAAAAAGGAAACGAAATATAAAAAGACACAAAGGGTCAGGCCTTGCCAAATAAAAAACAGAAAGGGTATCTGAGTGGAAAAGATTGCAATACTACCAAGAGTACCAAGTTTACATAATGAGTGCGTGGTAGAAAAGCTTGTATTTCATTAGCTTATTCATAAAAGCCTTACCTAGCCATTGATAACTTGCAGAAAATATTCAAGGTCTGATTTATTTGTGGGTCTAGGTGCATGCGTGCTTAGCTGTTTTCTTGGTTTCTGTCAGGTTGTGAAGTGTTTTGTTTTCCTCACTCTGGGACATGATTACTTTCTTAAGCTGAGTGGCAGCAGAATAGTTTTCCATTCTGATACGCATTGTGTCCTTCCGAGAGATGCCTGTTAAGTGCCAGCATGCTGAGACCTGATAATGACAGAGGTACTCCAGTAGTGTGTTTGCTGGAATCTCGAGGCTAGCTCATCATGTGGCCATTCTGCCAGTCAATTCTGCAATTCCTGGACATCCCACTGTATCGAGAACCTTCTGGAGGGGTATGTGTTTGCTGATTTTTGCCTCCTAAGCACCTCTTGGGTTTTCCGCACTGTTTCAAAGCCCTGGTGCGGGTGCTTACTACAGCTTGGAAAGCACTTGCCTTTTCCGGTTTGAGATTCCCTCATCTGATAACTGCTTTTAAAAACCTAGACTTCCAGTTTCCTGTGATGGTCTGGCCTTGAGCTTGAAGTCACACAACATGGAAGATCTTGTCTGCTGATAAATAGCAGGAAGAGCTTTGGGCAGTGCTGTATTCTGATCCTGCTGCCACCTGTGCCACAGTTCCCTCATCTGTAAAATGAGGCTGGCTATACCTCAGCCCTAGGGCTGGCGAAAAACCAGCAAACCATCGTAGAGCATTTTCTTTTGCTTACGGAACTGAGAGTGGAACCAAGGGCCCCCAGCATGTGGGGCATGTGCTACGTGCGTGAGCTGCATCCTCAGCCCACCTGTGCTGGGCTAAGCACACTTGAGCATGGTCTCGGTGAACAGAGCAGGAGGCCATCAGCAGCTTTTGAAGGAAGTACAGGCATTGCAGTCATGCTGCAAAGGGGGACACAGGCCTGGAGGGTGAAGGCATTTGCTCTAGGTCCCATAAGAGTCTGCATCCAGCATCTTCGCATCACCACATTATGCAGTACTGTATTTCCTCCACACCTCCTAGTAATTTGTACACTTCAAGCCCACCATCATCTGCCCCTCCCTCCAGGGGATCTGTCATCACAGTAATGCCGTAAAATTCTAGCCTGTGAAAATATGTGGGAAAATGTAAAGAAAAGTGACCCTGACAGGGCAGATTACCCAGTTATTTGAAAGTGATTTGCAAAAGTGTTTTGCCGAAGAGGTAGACAGCATCAGTGGGCCTGCAAGAAACTAAATTGATTCTGCAGCTGTTGGCAGTGTGTGGCAGTAGTGAACCTGATGTCCCTTGTGGTGTATAGTCCTCTTATGGTCTGAATGTCCTTTTCTGGCCACTGAGGGTGGTAGAGCCCTTTGGAGCATCTCCAAGTCTGCAGCTGTGTGCTTCCTCTCCAGTCCTTCCCCATCCCCAGTCTGTCTAATTCATCTCTCTGGTAAAATGAGAGAAGAAGTCTGAGCAGTTGGAAATTTATCAGAAAGTGCAACATGAAAGAGGCATTGATTAAGCTTAGTGTAACATGGGTAAAGAGGAATGACTGAGTGGTTGAGAAAGGTGCCCGAAAGGACAGGTGGGATGTGCAGAAGATTTTACTTGTCACTGGGGAGTGAAATTGGTGATATACACTACAAAAATAGGACTTGGTGGGGAGCAGTACTGAGGATTAAATCCAGAGCTTTGCATTGAGCTACATCCCCAGCCTTTTAAAAATTTTTGCAATTAGTTGAGCTTTTGAGCTTGCAGTCTTCTTGCCTCAGCCTCCCAGAGTATTGGGATTACAGCTTTCCACCACCACACCCAGCTTAGTACATTTTATGTAACATTTTGTGAAGGTAATGGTGGTCTCAAAGTTATTTTTTAACTTGTTTAAATCTCCAGTTTATCACTCAACAGATGTGCACTGAGTTTTTTGCACAAAGTCACCAGCCTAGAGATGGCAAAACTGACTAGAAATTAACTGCTAACCAGTTAAATGTCTGAGCTTTAATTGGAAAGATAATTAAAACAGTACGGAGGGCCCGTTTGCTGAACAGGAATTACAGAAGGTGATGGTAGAATTTTAAAAGGAACCCTTGTAGGATATTGAAGCATGCCTAGAACAGTCTTCCTGTTGCCTGCCTGCTAACAAGTCTGTCTAGTGGAGGACCTCTCCTATCTTACACTCTGGTACTCTCAGAACCAAATCTTCTGTTTCTCTAGGTATCTGGAAAATGTTACATTTTTTGTGGAACTTTACCATTTTGAACTTATTCTCTCCCATGTTCCTGAGTTCACCAATCGTACTTCTCTTTGTCATGCAGACTTGGCTACTGCTATTATTATTTTTGTTTTTAATAACTGTACCTTCAAGGATCAAAGATGACTGTATTTGAAGAGAAGTGAAATAATGTTGCTGTCTTGAGTAGCATTTTTCAAAAAGAATGTTGAAGTTGTTCTTGGTGAACTACACAGTGTCATCCCAGCCATTCAAGAGACAGCACAATCACTCAAGGCCAGGAGATGAATGCTAGCCTGGGCAGCATAGTGAGACTCCTCAGAAAACCAAACAAAAAGATTATCAAACTGCTTAGATGTATACTACCTTTTTTTTTTT